ACTACTACTACTACTACTGCTACCCGCGCTCCGACTACGACTACGACTGCTACTGCTGCGTCCACGGCCACTGCTCCTGTTCCTGCTCTGCTCCTTGTCTTCTCTTGATTGCAAACCTGATACCTGCTCCAGGTGTTATTGAGGCTGGGCTGGATTGGCTAGACTTATATGTGGGTCTGAACTACCGAGATTGTGCCGACCCCAACACCCACAGCCTAAGCCCTAATTCTTGAGGCCCCCATCGTAAGTAGTTTTGTTTCATGGTAGCCATGCTTGAAACCCAAAACCCTAAACCCTAGACCCCTAAACCCTACAGGGTACACCCTAAACCCTAAACCCTAAACGCCTAAACCCTAAACCCCTAAACCCTAAACCCCTGGGGGTGCTGGACTAAAGGAGAGAGCTTGTAATGTGTCGCAAGCCCGGCCGTCTGACGGTGGTTTTCTAAATCTTGGCCCGCTTCCAAGGGTCCCTTTTGTAAGGCTGCCTTGCTACCTAAAAAGGGGGGGTTTAGGGTTTAGGTTTTAGGGAGGGGACCTGATTCAGAGAACTACCCGATGGTCTTCGAAGCTATTGTTTGGGTAGGCTGTAGATCTAAGACATCCTATCATCTGTCTAAAATACCCTCAACCCGAAACCCTGAAAACACTATGAATTTTTCATTCAAAAGAGCCCTCCAACTTAAACCCCAAAGCCCAGCCCAGTAGTTCGCGCAGCAGTTTCGGTTTCATGCGTCTTCATTGAGGGACTCTGGGCTGGAGGTTTGGGACGCCGGGTTTCAGATTCCTGAGTTCAATTGATTCAAGGTTTGGCGTTTAGGGTTCAGGATTCATAAGGGTTGAGGATGTCGGGTGTTTAAGGGTTTAAGTTTAGAGTTAAGGGTTTAGCTTAGTTCTTTAGGGTTTGGGGTTTTAGGGTTTAGGGGTTTAGGGTTTAGGGGTTTAGGGTTAAGGGTTAAGGGTTAAGGGTTTAGCTTAGTTGTTGCGTGACTCTGGGTTTAGGATGAATGAGGCTGTTGGTTTGTGGTGTAGTAGTGGGCTTCGGGTTTCGGATTTGGGATGGTGTTGAGTTTGAGGGCGGCAATGGGGCGATCGATGGCAGCGTCATAGATATCCGGGTACAAACACATTAGCGTACTTGCCCTCGCATCTAAACCGCGCCTTGAGACAGCACGTGACCAAGCATCAATGTGCTGACGAGCAAAAAAAATGGCTCACGGGGCGTCTAAGCATCCAGCAGCTAAAACTAGATCGCCGAGGAAGACGAAGCAGGAACTCCACGATGTGTCCAAGGACCTTTGCGCTGGCTGCCCAAACATGTTTCCTGGACGATCTAGCATGCGGAAGACTTACCGATTTAGGGTGGAATGAGGCTTACCTCATATTTCCGGCTTTAGGCACATGAACCCCAAACCCCACTCCAAACTCCAACCGGTAGACACCGGTCGTCGACGTCAAGGCTTCAATAGCCGCCCAAGGGTTCTGCTCGTTGCGGTCCAACCAAGTCATTATATGGGGGTTTCCGAAAATGGGGGACCCTCATATAGTACCCTAAATAGTAGGATCCCTATTATATGGACCCGAGAATAAGGTACCCCTTGATTTCGGAAACTCCCATATTGTCCTTGAGGGTGGAAGACATAATTGTTGATACAACTTGTCTGGGTTGCTTAACCTGTTTGCAGTACAGCATACCCCGAAGCCCTAGTCTAAATACAGAGGCCCTATATGAGGGTGTAGGTCCGGTGTGGCTGTGTCCTTGCTTCTTGCAAGCACTGGCCACTGGCATCGATAAATCCAAGCCTTCCGGTGGAATTGCAATCCTGTACCCCTAACCCTAAACCCTAAACCCCAAACCCTAAACCCTAAACCCTAAACCCCAAACCCCAGACCCTAGACCCTAAACCCTAAACCCTGTAACCTAAACTAACCAACCCGAGATCCGAATTCTTAGAGTTTCGGGTTCAGGGCCGAGAGATCCTGAGGTTTAGGCTTTAGGGCTCCGATGGTTTTGGGGGTTTTGGGGATCCTGGCTACTACAGAAGCCTAAATAATTACCAATATTACTGGTTAGGGCTCCTTATTATGATGATACCACAAAGGAGCCCCCAGAAACCCTATTCTAATTATTAAGGCCTACATGAACAAGGCTCGGATCAGAAAGTCTTCCAACACTCGGAAGCCAGGCTCTGGAAAGAGGGCGGCAAATGGAAAGCCGTGAACCCAGCGGCGGCGGAGATTCAACGGCTGAAACTCAGTGGCTGAGTAGGTAACCTTTAACCTTTTGAGGCTCTTATAATCCTACTCTAACCCCTAAACCCTAAGCCCTAAAACCCTAAACCCTAAACCCTAAACCCTACTATAATTCAAGAGGTTAACCTTTTTTGGGCTNNTGGGCTAGGCTACTCAGCCCCTAAGGAAAGAGGATGTCTCTGCACTTTGCGACAAAGCCTTTACAGGAGCGCGCGTTGCGAACAGACCACACGTTCGCTGCTTAGGGTGCCTGTGTTGTTGGGTGTCCAGGGGTTCTACAGTACTATAGTGCTCATAAATAGGGGGATTGGTTCTTCACGTGAGGCATTCAACCCTTTTTAACATTCTGTTCATTGCTGTTTGGCGTGCAGGTGGCGCGAAAGAAGCTGATGCCAAGGGCATGGCAATGCAGCGTGGCGATTGTTGAGTAGGGTTTATATACATCGTACATGCTTGCATTGCTTGGACCGAACATATACGCGTGATAACTGTAGTCGTCCAAGAGCTAGCACCTAAACCCTAAACCCTAAAAGCTTTACCCCAGGACCTTCGAGCATGATGACTATCGCCGTCGTTTGCAACGTCTTCTCAGTCCTCGACGGCGTCGGGGGCCGGAAGTCTCGCAGCAAGATCGAAGCCAGCAGGCGCAGGAAAACCCCGAGCCGCAACAGAGTCTTGCCTGCCCTTATTAGGTTCCTGAGTAGTTTGTTTTTGGGGGGAGAGGGGGGGGGGGGGGGGNNAAAAGGGTACCCTTATTATTATGGGGCTACTCAGGAAGCTAGCTTTATTATTCAAGAGGAGGGTTCTGTCCTCGGTGCAAACAGATTCAATCTGTTATAGCCATATTAAATTATTGGAGTCCTAAACCGTGAACCGCCCATCGCAAAACCATCGTATAGCCTTCAACAATCCTACAGAAACCCTTCTCAAAAAATGCCCTTCTAAACAACCCTATAACATTCAATAACCTCCTTAACGCAACCTATAGTCAAGCCGATAAAACCCTGTAACATACAAGCCAAAGCCCAAAAAACCTAAACCCTAAAC